AAAAACGACATAAATCCGCGCGGAGATATGACGTTCCAAAACGACATAACTCCGCGCGGAGATATGACGTTCCAAAACGACATAACTCCCCGCGGAGATATGACGTTCCAAAACGACATAACTCCGCGCGGAGATATGACGTTCCAAAACGACAAAGCTCCCCGCGGAGATATGACGTTCCAAAACGACATAACTCCCCGCGGAGATATGACGTTCCAAAACGACATAACTCCGCGTGGAGATATGACGTTCCAAAGCGACATAACTCCCCGCGGAGATATGACGTTCCAAAACGACAAAGCTCCCCGCGGAGATATGACGTTCCAAAACGACGTAACTCCCCGCGGAGATATGACGTTCCAAAACGACATAACTCCGCGCGGAGATATGACGTTCTAAAACGACATAACTCCGCGCGGAGATATGACGTTCCAAAACGACATAACTCCGCGTGGAGATATGACGTTCCAAAACGACATAACTCCGCGCGGAGATATGACGTTCCAAAACGACATAGCTCCGCGTGGAGATATGACGTTCCAAAACGACATAACTCCGCGCGGAGATATGACGTTCCAAAACGACATAACTCCGCGCGGAGATATGACCTTCCAAATCATCACGTTTTTTTTTCAAAATCGGGGTATGTTTCAAAATCAAAACTTTTTCCATGATTTTTATTAAATATCTCCCGTAAAAATCGTCTGATTTTGAAATGTTATACCTTTTTAAATGCGTACGGATCCCAACCATCAATTGGCATTCAAAGAAATTCAAAATCGATGGGCTACAAAAAATAGAGGTCGGTCCGAAAATCGAAACTTTTTTGAAGATTTTTATTGAATATCTCCCGTAAAAATCGTCTGATTATGAAATGTTATACCTTTTTAAATTCGTACGGATCCCTACTATAAAATGGCATTCAAAGAAATTTAATATCGATGGGCTACATAAAATGATTGACAAAAAACTGATTCGTTTTCAAAATCAACCTCTTTTGATGATTTTCCAAAATTTTGACCCAAATCGACAAAATGACAAGGGGTAACATCACGCTTTTTTTTTAAAATAGAGGTCGGTGTGAAAATCGAAACTTTTCGATGTTTTTTTTTTAATATCTCGGGTAATAGCTCCGCGGGGAGATATGACCTTCCAAAAACGACATAACTCCGCGCGGAGATATGACGTTCCAAAACGACATAACTCCGCGCGGAGATATGACGTTCCAAAACGACATAACTCCGCGTGGAGATATGACGTTCCAAAACGACATAGCTCCCCGCGGAGATATGACGTTCCAAAACGATATAACTCCGCGTGGAGATATGACGTTCTAAAACGACATAACTCCGCGCGGAGATATGACGTTCCAAAACAACATAACTCCGCGCGGAGATATGACGTTCCAAAACGACATAACTCCGCGCGGAGATATGACGTTCCAAAACGACATAACTCCGCGTGGAGATATGACGTTCCAAAACGACATAACTCCGCGGGGAGATATGACGTTCCAAAACGACATAACTCCGCGCGGAGATATGACCATCCAAATCATCACGTTTTTTTTCAAAATCGGGGACGAATCCAAAATCGAAACTTTTTCGATGATTTTTGTTGAATATCTTCCGTAAAATTTGTCTGATCTTGAAATGTTATACATTTTTAAATTCGTACGGATCCCTACTATATTGAAAGAAATGTCCGGTTTTGTATTTTTACACTTTTTTGAATTTTTGTGGATCCCTACTACAAATTGACATTCATACATTTAAAATATCTATGGGCTAATAAAAGTTGAAGTTCTTAAATATCGATGGGCTAAAAAAAGTTGTTGACCAAAAACGATTCGTTCGATTTCGGCTAACAACATGATTATTCCACGAAAGTTCAACTTTCAAGCAGCTCAGAAACGAACCCTGTTTGTCAGCTAAAGTTATGCAGCAGCTGAGAAAGCACAGTTTGTACTAAAGCTCCGTCATAAATTAAAGCACAGCTTTAGGCTTGAGTTAAGCAACTGTGGATCAAGCACAAACAAAATGCTAGGCGCAATCATCATTGAGCTAACAATTTTCATGCGTGGTTGGGCTTGAAGCATAATTTTTTTTCTGCTGCTGCTGTCCGTTCATATGAGCGGACTATTTCATATATCTTTCAAGTCCGGCCCGTCTACACAAATCATCATACGCAATGTGTAAATGTTAAAAAAATGTAAAGTGCGTTGCTGACGTAGCTGCTTCTGTAATTGTTGTTGCTGTTGCTGTTGCTGTTGCCGCTGTACACACCTCCATTTGGTTTTTTATTGTTGTTGTGGTGGCAGGGCAGCCAAATTGTAGAAATCAGCAATACAATTGTGTGCCAAGGGCAATTTCGCCTTTGATTGATTTACAAGAGGCGTTGCCCTGCCCAAGACTTGTTAGCTGCGGGCCAACATTGCGTATGCGTAATTAGAAAATATGACGAATGATTCTTGATGGGAATCTGTTGCCGATTAAGTCATAATTTTATAATTTGTCAGTTAACAATAAATTTGATTAGCTGCCAGAGAGAGAGATTAATATACAAGAAGATAAAAAACATTTCGCCGCCGGGCTGCGTAACAATTTATTTTAGCCACAGAAGAAATACTATTTTTTTTTAATGTTAATATATTTTTATTTTTTTTAATTCTGCTTAGTTATTTATTTGTGCTGTTCAAAAATATTTACATTTGCGTGTTAGCCGCTTGCCATTTGCCGCTCTCTGACTATTCCGGCATATTAATAACTTGTTTGGGAAATTACACCCGGATGGGCAGGGAGCGTAGGTAGGTTTGGATTCCATTGTCGTTACTTAGAATTGGATAAGGTCGGCCAGGCGCTAAATGAACTAATGAACTTGTTCTAGGCAATGTTCAGACAATGAATCTCCCAACTAATCAGCACAATGCGTGCCGAATCTTTTGACATGCCGAAAAAATCTCAAACGCTGTAATCATAAATCAAGCAAAAAGTCAGCCGCGAGCTGCTGCCACCAGCGACAGCCTCAAGCTGCAGCTGCAGGCAGCTCAAATAGACAAAGAGACGTGGAATTAACAAGTGAGCGTGCTGGACTAGAAGATACCCAGCTCTTAAATATATATACTTATAATTATTATATGTAGCCCTCCTCCTTTTGTGCTTAATATCTTATCTTTATGATATTCAGTGCTCGAGGACTTAACGCTTGAAATCGATATTTATCGATACTTATCGATTTCAATTGTTAGACTTTGAGATGGTGTGAAATAAGCTAAAGAAACCTCGCGTAGTCTCTTAAATAAACTTGAACCGAAGCTGGGAAGCTATATACATATATTCCTTTAAGGTTAAGTTAGCAAAGTTATCGATAGTTTAAAGTAAGCTAAACAAAAATTTGCTAAAAATAATTAATAATGTAAGCCTTGAAAAATATTCAATATTAAATGAACTATATCAAAATTCAATTGTAAAATTTGATAAACAATAAAAAAATGTGTGAAAACTAAAGATGGCAATCGATATTTATAGGTTTTAAGCATAGGAATCTTCCAAGAGCCTGAGCTGGCTAAAATCGCTTCTACAATCCAAACTACTTCCTTGGGTCCATTATACCCTCTTTATACAAATTGATCATATATGCAGGGTGTTTTAAAAAAAACATAAATCACACCCGAGAGCGACACTCGTTAAAACGTTAATCAAAAGCAATCCAGTGGGTCGCGACGAAGGGCGCGTGTCTTCGTCAGCAGCGGCTGCCGGCTCCAGCTCCGGCTTCAGCCGCAGCTCCAACTCCGTGTCCAGCTGTAGCCAAATCGAAGGCCGAATGTCCAATGCTTATGTAATTATGTGTGTGTGTGTGTGTGTGAGTGTGTGGCAGGGCCCAGGCAGCAGAGCATTGCACAACCCGGTTGCAGTTGCAGTGGCAGTTTTTTTCTAATTTTATTTTTTGGGCGCCCAAAACGCGCTGCTTAATGAACAACGGCAGCAAATTTATTGACTGAGCGGCTAACATATTGACTAAATGACTGATGAACCAACTGACGACAGCTTGTGGGAATTGAGTCGTCGACAGGTGATCGCAAGCGCCGACTCGCTCGACTCGCTGCTATTGATTTTTGTTGCCACAGACGGAGCGAGGGGTTGGTGGGGAAAGGGCGAAACACCTTGAATCGCGTCCAAGTAAGGCGAATTCAGGTTGCACCACACTCGAGTGCGATTTGTGGATTTATGGATTCATCGAGCTATAGATTTTATGGATTTACTAAGCATTCGATAAACAATAAACAGACGCGCCTGCGCCTGAACACGGCTACTTGAGGCCACAAAAAGCAGCCAAATCCAGTGTTACAAATTTGTTAAATAAATATATACATTGAGAGTTGCTGCTTTGAACCGGCGACTTTCCTTCTGTTAGGCTCCAATTTAGTCAGAGCTTCTCATTGAAATGTCAACAAAAAGTGAAATGATTTTAAAATTTCCACTGTTTCCGGCTTTCGAGCTTTTCAAACAGCCAAAATAAGCTAGAAAGAAAAAGCCAAATCCAATATTTTAAATTTCATGCAAACATATATACAAATTGAGAGTTGTTGCTGGTTTTGAACCGGCGACTTTCCTTCTGTAAGGCTCCAATTTTGTAAGAACTTCTCATTGAATTTTCAACAAAATAAAATTTCCACTGCTGCCGGCTTACGAGCTTTGCAAACAGCCAAATTAAGCCAAAAAACGGCTAAACTGCTGTGCAGTGCAGCAGCATTTCCGCCTGTGCATTGTTTATTAAAAGGCAACTTCTCTGAACGCTCATGGATTTGAACCGGGCACTGCTGCAACTGGCCGGCTGCACTTGAACCGTTGATATTTTCAGCTGGCATCTGCTGCTGCTGCTGCTTTTGATGCTGCCTGGCTCTAATGACCCTCGCAATTTATCTTGAACGCGTCAACGGCTGTCAGAACTGAGCGAGAGAAGGTCAACCACTGGACGCCACCAACAATTGTGGCTCTTAATTTGTTTTTGGTGTAGATTTTACTTTATTTGGAAACGTTTCATTACAAAGGTTTCTTTAAAATGTACCCTAAAACTCCGGCGGGTACGTGGGGGAGGGAGGATTGGCAGCAACTGTTCCAAAATTGTTTTGGGCTGTTTTAGGCTTAGAATACTTTGTGTTTAGTAGGTAAACGGATTGGCGGGTTTGTTGTAGTTGTAGCCATCCGGACCCAACGAGCCGGCATCCGTCGGCTGTGGCTCTGGATAGGATTGCGCGGGTGGGCCAGGCGGTGAGGGTGGGCGCGGCTGATAGGTGGGCGGTGCGGGTGGGCTAGAGGGCGGTGGTCCATACTCAGAGGTCGGTGCTGGCGGTGCGGGTGGTGCTGGAGGGCGTGGCTGGTAGGTGGGCGGTGCGGGCGGACTAGAAGGAGGAGGACCATAGCTTTGAGTAGGTGCCGGAGGAGCCGGTGGTTGCTGTGGCCGTGGCTGGTATGTCGGCGGTGCTGGCGGGCCAGCTGGTGGTGGTGGACGAGGCTGGTAAGTAGGCTGTGCAGGTGGTGGCACATAGCCGGGAGTAGGTGCTGGTGGTGCAGGCGGTGCTGGCGGACGTGGCTGATAGGTGGGCGGTCCAGCTGGTGGTCCAGCTGGTGGTTGTGGAGGGCGTGGCTGATAGGTGGGCGGTGCGGAAGGACCAGCAGGCGGCAAATACTCTGCGGCCGGCTGCTGTGGACGCGGTGCCGGAGGACTAGGAGGCTGGGGACGTGGTGGCTGCGGTTGTGGCTGCGTTGGTGGCGGGCCATACGAAGGCTGGGGTGCTGGTGGAGTTGGACGTTGGGGAACGGGGCGCGGCTTGGGCTGCTGCGGCTGATCGGGCGGCAAGTATTCCGGACCAGCTGGCGACGGCGGAGTCTGGGGTGGTCCATAAGAAGGTCCAGGAGCTGAGGGCTGTGGCTGCGGCTGCGGCTGCGGACGCGGTGGTTGAGTCTGCGGTGGTCCATAGGAAGGTCCGGGAGCTGTGGGCTGCGGCTGCGGTTGTGGCTGCGGTCGTGGCGGTTGAGTTTGTGGCGGACCGTATGAAGGAGCCGGAGCCGTGGGCTGAGGACGCGGTGGCTGCGTTTGCGGCGGTCCATAAGATGGTCCGGGTGCGGTGGGTATCGGTTGTGGCTGTGGTCGCGGCGGCTGCGTCTGAGGTGGCCCGTATGAAGGGGACGGAGCCGTGGGAACAGGTTGCGGCTGTGGTCGCGGCGGCTGCGTCTGTGGCGGTCCGTACGAAGGCGCCGGCGCCGAAGGAGCCGGTCCGGGTATCACGCCGCTGTCCTCAATGCCATTGCCCGTGGGCGGCGGCGGAAACGGCTGCGAGGGCTGCTTATAATGATATCCATCCTCCTGCAGATCGGTGTCCAGATGCGAGACATCCGCATGGACGCCAACCGCAGCGAGCACCGCCGCCAACAAAGGCAGTAAAAGGCGCTGCGAGGGGGAACAACAAGCACAATAAAATGATCAGTTCCCGGAGCGGATTTATGGGCATCCCAATAATGCCCAGAGATGCCTGTGGCCACTCACCATGCTGCGAATTTTCACACACAGTTTTTCCGCACAACTGGAAAATGCACGACGAGAGCACACGAACAATTATTTTTACCGGTTTGGCGAACACACGAGACGCGAGACTCGAGACTTGACTGCAGAGTGGAACAAGCGAAGCCAGCGACGTCTTCGTTGCAAAATCAGAAAAGCGAATGATGCCCAAATGTTCTCCCTTGGCGAATTTATACCGCAGCAGCGGCAGCAGCAGCCCCTAAGCCGAAGCTCAGCTCAATAGATGCCAAATGCTTTTGACTCGGCTTTTTGAGTTGGGCCAACGAGTTTTTGACTCAGACTTGAGTCTGAGTTGGACTCAGTTGGAGTCATCGTCGTGATGCTGCAACCTTTGCTAGTTGTTGTTTCTGTTATTATTGTTATTGTTGTAGTTGTTTCTAATGTTTCTGTAGTTGTTGTAGTGGCTTGGTAATCAACGGCGATTGTAAGTCAATAACAACGCGTACCAGTTAGTTTTTATTTAAGATGCTTAGGGTTTTTATGCCCCACACAACGGGTTGGCCCTGGATGGCAGAAGTGTTAACCAGGAACCAGCTGCTTATCAAGTTGCTCATCAAGCAAATATTATATCATATTACCAGAATAGATTACCCGACGTTGTCCGGATCCAATTAATATTGTTGCAGATCGATAAATTTGTCCAATTCGCAACGCTCTTCTGCGTCTTTTTTAAACTTTTCATATTTTCTTGCTAGCTCATTATTATTGCTTTATGCCTTATTCAAAATTAAGCTTACAGGCTCATTACGTCACGCTTCCAAAGCAAAATTGTATCATGTATGTTGTATGATGTATGACTAATGGTGTTTGATGGATGATTTATGATGTATGATGTATGATGTATGATGTATGATGTATGATGTATGATGTATGATGTATGATGTATGATGTATGGCGAATGACGTATGATGTATGATGTTTGATGTATGATGTATGATATATACAGCTTCGGCTTGCATATTGATCGCTCTTTAAAAAAGTGAGTGACAGCGCGTGGGTTGATAGACGTGCGAAATACCTGGCGCATTTGCATATTTTTAGACATTCGCAAATCATCAGAAATGAAGCTGGCGGCGGCGATGACAAATCGTGGTTAACAGCAAAATCGTGCCAAAAGAGTTGCTTTTATCAAAATGGCCGCTGCCTTCTGTGGGGTATTTACTGTTATATATGGCAGTGGCAACAATTGGAAAATCATTTGATTCGACAGCCGCCCAGCTGGTCCATAAATACAATGCTCACAGATAAAATGTCAATTCCAATTAATTAATAAGCCAATTAGCCGGGCTACAGGTTACGGGTTACGCGGCGTATGCGCAATGCACTGAGCCAGTTTCCAGTCGAAACGATTCAGTTTCTATAGGAATACCCTGTAAAAACGGGAAAATGTTTATAGAAGCGTATATGTGTGTGTATATGTATGTGACAAGCAGAAGCTGGCATATCTGTATCTATATATATGTATATATGCAATTTTAGGTACTATAAAAGATAAAAAATTCCAAAATAATATATACAGCTCTTTCTTAAATTCCAAACAGAACAACCTAATATGTTTTCTTAATATCGAAAAATATCGATTTGTAGTTTAACTTAGTTAACCTGAAGATTTTATAAAAGAAATATTTCTCTAGCTCTATATACGATTTCGTATTGAGAATATGAATGAAGGAATCTGCTTTTGTTATGTGCAAAATAAGTTTATCTGCTTTTATTTATTGAAATCGATTAATATCGCATGAAGATCAGATCGAATATATGTATTTTAAACATTAACGGAGGAGAAAAAATGAAGGAATTTTTTAATAAAATTATTTAAAGAAAATGAAAATAGTTTTCTTGCGCCTTATAAAACAGGGTATCTGCCAGTCGGACACTCACACATCGGTTGTTTGTATTTGTGTATTTTTTTTATTAATTAACTTTGCATTTTTATAAGTTTTCGTGTTTTTGGCTTTGCATTGGTGTTGTGTCTACAGGTTTTTGGTGTGTGTTTGCTTTTGTTTTGAATTTTTCCATTGAAGTTTTCTTTGCTTATCATTGTTGTGCGTGAAGCATTTACAAATTGTGTTTAGTTTAAATCTTAAATTGCTTTACTTAATTGCCTAACATAACAAGCTGAGAAAACCGTCAAGTTATCAGAGTTTATTGCGCTTAAACTAAACCAACTCTATTATTTATTTAGTCAATTACTCACACATTATATATTAAATAAAAGATCTGTTCACAATTCCACTAGTTTTCTTTATGGCCTGCCTTTTTAATTGATTAATTTGCTTTTGATTTGTTTTGTATGAATTCTATGCCTAAATGTGAAGCGTTTAATGAGATATTTTTTTTAAATTTATTTGTTATTAACTTGTTTTGCTGCGAGCCCTAGAAGGTGCCAATTATTGTTATTAAAATCTAAAAATCCGCTTAACTCGTTTCGTATTATTTACGTTCGTTTATTGTTGCAATGTTGCAATGTTTAACCTTTTAGTTGCCGCAAAATGGCTGGAGCGATAATTCCTCTACTTGCCGCGATAAATCTCGATGATGCGATCCTGGTCGACATACTCGAAGATATGTGGCGCATCCATCAGAATGCCAATCGTGCCGGCCGTGGTCACAATAAAGAAAATGTACAGCTGCAGGCGATCAATGACCATGGCCACGTACTTCCAATCCTCGCGAGTCTGTCAAATGTTGAAAATTAAATCTTGAGATACTCGCGCAAAAAGTATCTATAGCTAACCTGTATGTAGAGATCTTCGTTACGCAGATGCTCGGCTATGAACTCGACCGCCTCGGTGGCCTTGCTGGCTTCGGGGGACAGCAATATGGAGTCGGAGGATTCGCTTTCGCGACGGCAGCCGTCGCCCAGGCCCAGCTCGGCACCGCTGTTCACCTTGCGATTGATCTTGCAGTTGGGATGATGCAGATCCGACAGCTCCATGACCTCCATTTTGGATTGCTTGCCGCCGATTGCGCTGATATGCTTGGGCAGCTCGGCTGGCGAGCCGTACGAAGGATGCGGATGCGCGGGCATGCTCATCCCGGGCATTTCCATCATCCAGCGGAGGCGTGTCTTGCGCGGCCTCTTCATCAGCAGAAAGGCGGGCAAATAGTGCAGGAAGACGGAACGTATCCACATGGGCATGCGATGTGTGCGCGGCCCACGGAAGTTCCAATTGATAATTATGACCGTGACCAGAATGGAGACCGTGTTCATAATGAACGTAAAGAGTAGATACTTGGCAATCAGCGGCAACACCAGCGATGTCGGCGGCAGAATCTTCGACACGAGCAACAGGAACACAACCAGTGACAGCAGAATGCTAATGCCCAGCGTGACCTACGACATCGAACCCGCTTAGAACCTGAACATATAACTCAGCTCTAGTCGGCTGCGCCTGACTGGCAGATACCCAGCACCTATCTATCCATAAGAAGAACCTTGCTTAAAATGCTAGAGACATTCAAAAAACAACGCACATTCTTTCCATTGCATCACACATAATCGAGAAATGTCATATTAGGTAACCTAGGAGCCTAAAGTCCGATCTTTCTGAAATGTTCAGCGTTAAAAATATCCTATACCAGACTTACATGCAAAGTTTGATGGAAAAAGCTCTAATAATCTTCGAGTTACGATTAAAAACCAAGTGTATGTATCGATAATTATCGATATTATGAAAAATGGAGTACATATCGAAAGGCCTCTAGACTAAGGGTCCTCTACTGAGTTAAATATAGAAAGCGCTGAGAATCTCCGTCTCCGTTCGGTTAACAAGAATATATCGAGAGATCGAGATTATTGCCTTTATAAAGACTGACAAACGGACAGATAAAGAACGATAGTTCAAGTCGACTATTGAAGCTGAATATTCATTATTTATAGAGTCTTAACGTTACATATGTATTCACAAAAGCAATATATTCTTCTTACCAAACTTCCAGTGGGTTCAAGGCATAAAAACCGAAACGAACCCGTATCAAATTTGAGCTCACCTTTTCGCCAGCCTCGGCGGGCAGATAGAAGACGAGCACGCAGAGAAATGAGATCAGCACCGTGGGCAAAATCAAGTTGACCGTGTAGAACAGGGTTTTGCGTCGTATTATTATGTAAAAGGTGATGTCCGTTTCGGTTGGATGATTGCTGTCGCCCTCGTATACGTTGAGATAGGCGGGCACTTCGATTATATCCCAGGTGCCCGATTTCCAGTAATCGGACAGATCGACAAAGTTCTTGTTGTTGTAGAGCGCCAGCGAGACCTGATCACCATTAAACGTCCAGGAGCCGAATTTCATGATGCACGTCTGCTGATCGAACGGAAAATAGGTGACATCAATTGTGCAGGAGCTCTGATAAATGGCCGGCGGCACCCAGAGCACCTCGCCCGTGGGATAGATGAGTACGTTCGACTTGTAGCGCACCTCGTAATTGCCATCGGCGCTGGGACACAAAGATAGAAATGCATATTAGTAGCTGGCACACAACTTAAGGACCAAAACCTAAATACAGTTAACATTCAATACGATGCACAATACAAAGAGTTATATATATATATATATATATAGAGAGAGAGAGAGAGCGATAGAGAGAGAGAGGGAGAGTTGTCGAGAGTTAGTTGAGTTAAAGCCATTTACTCACTTATTGAAGAGCACAATGTCCGGCTTCCAAACCTTATCCGGGGGCAGACGGAGCACCCCGATGCCGCCGTAGTCAGCCTCATCCCATTGCAGCTGATAGTCGTACCAAACCAAACGTAGCCAAACGTTTGATTTCATAATTTGATTTTTCTCATTCTTGGTTTCAATTTTGGTTTCAGTTCGGGTTTTTTATTTTTCGAGATATTTGAGATGTTTGGTGATGATGGTGGTTGGTTGGTTGGTTTTGGTGGTTGATTGTATTTAATTTTATGGATTCGATCGTACGCACCGTATACGTAATATTTGTATATGTATATTTTGGCGATTCAAGCGAATCGGAATCGAATTCAGACAGAGAGAAATATATTTGAGAGAGCGGGTGGGAAGTTTGAAGTTTAAGTCATTATTTTTTGCATTTGTTGTTGTTGATGTTTGTTGTTTTTTTTTTTTTTTTTTTTAATATTATTTCTCATAATTGTTAGTATATAGGTTTTAGTTTTGTTAATTTAAAAATGCAATGCAATTGTCTTATTTATTAATTAGAGTTAGTATTCGTTTTTTGCTAGGCATGAGGTTTCACTACAAACATACAAATACAAGTCAAGACAACACGTGTGTAATTAAGTATTTACAAAGCATAAACTTAACTGAAAAACGGGCTGGCGAGCCATAGCCACGCCCACTGATCGAACGCATATATTTTACATAAGTATATATATGCATATGGGGCGTCGGGGGCGTGGCTGTGCAGCAACAAAACTCAAGAATTATTCATGAACAGAACTCGTAAGTACAGTTTTACACGCTACTAAAGTTAGTATCTTTTATTATTTAGCATTAGTTTTTTTTTCTATTTGTTTTTTTTTTTTTTAATTTGGATTTTGATTTGATGGGAACACTTACGACATTGATTAGCTGTACGAACGCCAAACCAAATCTTACTCCAACTTTTTGTGTCATATTTTGTACGGGTCGTATGAGTTTATTGTAGCCTCGAAAGAGGTCACGCACCAGGCGCTCTTCGTCTTCGGATGCACTGACTAAAGAAACACACGAAACGAAAAACCAAGGCGCACAAGAAAAACGGAAAATCGGAAAAGCCAGGGAAAAACAAAATGTTTGGCCAAAACAGAAACAAAAACAAACAACAGAATGCAGAGAATAGAACGAAGAAGAGTCAGAAAAAAACACACAAAGACGAAACAAATATGAGCAAATTTTTCTTAGTTTTCTTCTTTAATTTTTAAATTTATTTTTTGTGTGGTTTGTATTTTCTTTTTATACCCTGAACCCATTGAAGATGGGTGAAGAGGGCATTATTGTATTGTGCAAGTGTATGTGGCAGTAGAAATTTCTCCCATAAATATATGTACCCTTTCCGTCTTTATGTTTGTTTGGTTGAATGGATCGAACTACAAATCTAGAGATTAGAAATTGGAAATCCGTATTCTAGTAATGTATCCAGAAGGAATTTGTTAATTATTGTTTGATAACCCTTTCCGATCTCATAAGTATCGCCTATGATACCCCATTAGCATATATGTATATATATATATATATATATATTCCTATATATATATATATATATATATATATTCCTTCCGTTTGTCTGTCTGTCGAACTCCAATACTCGGGACTAGAAATTGGAAATCTCTATTATTGTATACCGTGCCTGAAAGGGATTTATTAATTATTGTTTGATATCCGATCTCATATATTCCCATCGTGTGTCTATTCGTCTGTGTGAATGCGTCAAGCCGAAAAACTACAAAACTAATTATTTTTCGATATCTATTTCCAATATCATGTTGTCGATAACATGGCATTCGATACTTTTTTTTTTTCAAGAATATGTCGAAGGTTATAGAAACAATTGATATCAAAATGCTCTCTGTATTCTCTCGTATAGAAGTTACCGATTACAAGCTTGTGACTTCTTAGACATATCCCCACTTTCCCCAAAATTTTATATAAAATAGTCATTCTTAGAGGCAGAGCCTGTCGCTTTGATAGATCTACATAGTAAGATGCAAGATTTGGGCTTCAAGAATATCGCAAAGGATCGGACTATGAGCACTAAAAATACTCAAGAATACATTTTTCTTAATGTAGAGTGTGTTTTTTTTTTACGAATGTATTGAAGGAAGACAGAATGTTTGTAAGATTAGCGCTAGGTTCAGGGTATCTCCTAGTCGGGCACTCCCGACTAGCTTATATCGTTATAGTTCTTGTTAATGTTCATGTTGTAGTTGTGATAGTCTTTAGTTTTAATGGGCTTATAATGGTAAGCAAAGCGTAGACAGTGTAACACAAATAGAGAGAGAGAGAGGGAGAGAGAGACAGAGAGAGAGAGGGGGGGGGGGAGAGAGAGAGAGAGAGAGACGGAGACAGAGCCAGAGTGGGAATGGGAAAAAGCGCGCGAGAGATAGTTAAAGGTTGACACTTAACGCCGATAATTAAAGAGCTTTCATTTAAATTTCAACTAGGAAAAATATAATGACGAAATATGAAAGCTGCTCGTTTTGTTGTTGTTTTCTTTTTTTTCAATTTTCATTAGTTCAATGTTTGTTGTGTTGTTTTGTTGTTGTTGTTGTTGTGTTTGTTGGCTTGTAATGCAAATATATGTTAAATGTAATTGGTTAGATCCTACGTTGCGTATACGCCGCATGTGACGCCGTTGCATTAAAGTGTCGCACTTTAATGCAAGGACCTCTTTCGAAAAACAGTCCTAGAGCTAGTTGCAATAGAGTGTGCCAAAAGGGTGTGCTCGACTAAAGGCTGCCCTGCAAAGCTGCTAAGATAAGTTGTAAACATTTAAATGCTACTCTAACTAAATGACAATTTTTGACAGCTACGTTTATCCGACAGCTAAAGGGAGCGAGAGACAGATAGCGAGGGAGAGCGCTGAACTCTCTGCTGACAGCGCACATGTGCAGAAAACTGGGATGCGGAGGCTGGTATGAGTGTGTGTTGTGTGTGTTTGTAGGGGAGTGTGTGTTTGTATGTGAAGTAGCTGTCATGACCGGGTTATGCTTGTCTATGTGTGATATATAGAGCACAAACTGTCGCTGAACCCAGTGAAACTGGGTAAAAAGGGTATATTGCTTATGAACAAAAGTATGTAACAGGCAGCAGAAGACGACCGACTATAAAAGTTCCTTAGCTGGAGAAAGAGTATGGTCAATCTGGCAAGAGACTTGAATTTGTAGAATACTAAATTACCCCTTTATATCGTTAAAAATTAATTTTGAGACTTGGCTCTTAAGCATAACTCGAGAATTACAAAAGCTATATACACCAAACTTATTGTGTGGCAGATAAAGAATACTTCACTTTTTTAATATGCTACTAGCTTTCCATTGTAATTGGAAAAAGGCTCATTTACTAAGACAGCCTTATGCTTTGGTATTTCCATACATTTTTATGCCATATTTAATCCTTGAAAATTTAATGAAAATTGTACTATAAACACCCGAGTTAATCAAGAACGTGTTTCCATAAATGGATGAAAAGAGAAGGCACATCCAGTTAGTGTCGTGTGTTCGTGTGTATAGGTGCTTGGTGCTGACTGCAGGGTATCTTCTAGTCGGGCACTCCCGACTGGAGCACTTTTGGTACTTGATTTATTTTCGATGGTGCTGGTTCTGGGTTGTTCGAGTTGCAGTTGAGCTAACATATTTAATTGTAAGAGCTGGAGCAGGGCTGTGGGCAATGTATATGAGTGTGCGTGTGTGTGTGATGGCAAAGAGCTCTAAGTAGACACCATGTTTGGGGGGTTCTTTTCTGTCGCTTGTTTTTCTTTTCGCTTACAATTTAACACTAGGCTTGGACTAAGGCTAGATTGGACTGCTCAGAACAGAAGGAGTATGAATTAAGATTCGGCAGTTGATACAGAAATCTGTTTTGCAATTTGATCAACAAAATTATTTCGGTTCATTTTTTCAGTATTTTGTTGTTGTTTTTTTCTTCTTCATATATATATATTTTTTTGTATTCAGTTGCTTTGATGTGTATCCATCTGCGGCAGCGCCAAAAGAGGGAGTTTTGCTACGCTTTGCAGTACAAAATTCATAATTATTTTCGGTTTGGGTTGGGGATGGAAAAGATGTTTAATTACAAAAGCAGAGAGTTAGGCTAATAGCGCTAAGTAGGTGGATTCTTATGAAAAATAGTAGTAGTTGCTTGTAGTAAAAGTAGGGGAAAATTGGGAGCATAGAGCGTATATAATATATAGATAGGTTAAGAAGTTGGAACTATGCTAAGGCATTTATATAGAGAAGCTATATAGCTAGCAGAAGGATATAAAGAAGATCTAAGCTGCAGTAAGAGTGGGTGCTAGGAGAGAGAGAGAGAGAGAGAGAGAGAGAGATAGAAAAAACGAGAGAGAGAGAGAGAGAGAGAGAAAGGCTATGGCTACTTTACGAGTATACAAATTTTGAAGAGTTGCATTTAATGATCGGCGCAGTCGTTGGTATCGTATTTTTTTTCTTTCGCATTTTTTTATGGCAGCGCTGCAGCAGAGCGACGCTTTGGCAAATTCCTCAAGTCTCGATTGTGGTTGTACTTATTTTAAATATATATATATATATACTGTATACTATATAGATATCAGAAGCTGGGCAAAGGCGGCGGCACAGGCAGAGGCTGAGGCTGAGGAGAAGCTGGTGGCTGCGGCTAAGGCTGTGGCTGTGGCTGAGGCCGAGGCTGTCGGGTTGTCGTTGGTTTCTTTGGCTAATGGAAAAACTTTTCGGAATTTGTCAAGGCGTCGCTGCTGGCGCGTTTATATTAAATTTAAGAAAAAAATCAAATCATTGCTGTAAAATTTGTTGCTTGCGCTTTGGCTTTCAACTGGCTTTCAAAAATACACATATAGATATATATATATAGATAGGATTATTGCATAACCCCCCAAAATAAAATTTGGCAAATGCCACGCCCCCACCGCCTCCACGACACATACCTTGTGCAATCAATAGCAGCGCCAGGACGCCGCCCAGCAGCCAAGTTCTGGCATTTAAATCCATTTTCTGTGCGTGTTGTCCTTCCTATTTTTATTTAATATGCAGTCCAGGCATAGTTTTTAATTTAGTTAAGGTCCACGCCCCGCACAGTCAGCTAGAGGAAGGAAATTTATAAGTCCGGGAATATTAACTCATCTTTAAAATGTGCACTTTACCTAATAATTTTTGGCTTTCTGCTGTTTTTCCACAATTTTTTCGCAGCTTCTCTTTGACCTGCACAAATTTTCCAACCTTTTGCTGCGGCAGTTCGAGTGCGGATTAAGAAGAAACTCGAGCTCTGGACTCTGGATAAAATCAATGCGATGCGAGATGTTGATGCGCACAGCAGCCGAGAGGGGGAGAGAGAGCGGAAGCAGCAAAGCGCAGGCGCTCTCACGGCCACTCTCTCTGTCTATCTATCTCTCTCTCTTAGTCTCCCTCTCCCTCTGAGAGAGCGGATAAAAGAGCGTGCGGGCAGTTTGTAAACAAAAGTCACGTTTTAAGGGTTGGCCTTGTCTTTGGCTTCTGGTTCAGCACCCTCCATTGTTTGGCCAGGGCTCAGCTGTTGCTGGCTTTGTTTACATGAAAAGCCACGAACCAGAGTTGCCAGAGTTGCCAACGCCAATTAGATTCTTACACAGTGCGTGGGAATAGTAATGCTCCAATGCGAACGCTTCCTCAATTTTATTTTGTATTTTTTTTCTGTATATTTATGAGCTGTTTTTTTGAGCTGTTTAATTATGACACAAACAACGGTGCGAGGTCAACGGGAAGGGGCATACGATTTGCTACGCTTCATCATTATAGCCAGAAGCTGGCCATTAACATTAAGCAGTTCCTCATGGCGCCCAAATGATATGCAAAAAAAAATATATCCACATCATAAACTTGTCCCAGCATTTCGTTACGCACCTTAGTTAAACGCTAGCGGAAAGATGATTCGATTAACAGCTGCATTCCAAGCGTCGAATATGTTTTGTCTTTTT